TGAGGGAGCCAAGAAAGAACAGTATGGAGAAAGGAGCAAGTCTCCTTTTGTTACTTTATTATAAAATAAGAAATGAAATTTTCTTGTGTAGTTAGCAAATTGTTTCTGTAGAACACTAAACAATGGCGTGTTTGTTGGAAAAGATATATATGTTCCCAAAGGGGGTGTTGAAAAAACTAATACATGCTATGTTTCAAAAGTTATGAATTATTGGTGAAAAGTCAGTTTCAGTGGGTTGTATGTTCAATCCTTAAAAATGATTGACAAAAGAAAAAGGAATACTGCTAAATTGAGAACTGCTAGCTATGATTTTCAGGCAGAGGGCAAGATTTATGTCTGAATTGGAAGGACTTGATATTATATACTCAGGATCAAGCTAAATACAGTACTGTGTTCTTTGAGTTCAGCCATCATTCAAGCCAGAGCTTTGAGACTCTAAGACTGTGAAGCAGTTGCCCGGTAAGGATCAAAGGATAAAAACCATCTTACAAACAAGTGTGCTGCATTTTAAATCAGGGATGCCATGCACAGCACCAGGGTACAAGGTGAAGGCTGCATGCTGCTGAGGCACAGCTCCAGGGAGACTATCTTTTTGAAGGTAGAACTTGGAGCAATTTAATGTTCAATGCCTCTGCTCACTTCAGGAAATTGTGAAAGAAAAATGAAGAGAACAACAAAAGGGAGACATCTCTTGATACATTTCCTCAAAATGTTTCCAGGGCCCTTAAGTATCTCCAGGTATCATTTGAAAGAGGCCTTTTGCAGCCTTGATCTCATGAGCAGAATTGAAGCTTTTATTGTCAAATGTATTAGTATATTACTTAATAGAGATTTTACTTAAAAAGTAAAAATTACTCATTGCAAAATCTCAGACAATATGGAAAGTTTCAAAAAAATAAAAAATCTCCATCAGCAAAGAATCACTATTTATTAAAGTGTATAAACTTCCAAAACTAAGGCATCACATGTATATTACTTATATATTTCCTATAATAACTACCAAACATACATATACATGTTTACATCTATATATATCACTTCTATATTATATATATTTTCACATTAATTTTATAGCTGAATTATAATCTATTAAAACTTTCCTCTTTGCTGGTTATATATATATATATATATATTTTTTTTTCTCTCTAAATATTGGTGCAGCACCACATACTTATACCAAGAAATTTACATATTTGTAAAACCACTTTCCTCTAATAAAGTGACCTATCAGAATCTCTTTAAGTGGGTTTGCTAATACTCAGCCTACATTAGAATAGTTTCTTTTTACCCTTTATCCTCTGGGGCTCCAATTAAACTTGATTTCATTTCTCTAAAGATGTTTAGTGTTCTCTCTCTCTCTCTCTTTCCTCCCTCTCTCCCTCACTCTTGGTATACATGGGATGTATAGTCTCATTCAAAATGGCTTGAGACATTAATTCCCAATAACTCCATTTTTAAGACTCTAAGTTTCATATTTAGCCTGGAATATTTGAATATTCATTTCAATTACTGTAATATTAAAAGTACAGGAGAATATTTTACTTCAGAACTTAATTCCTTATTAATTATATGTAATTGATGGTCTGGTAATGTTATTTTACATGTGGTAAACAATAATATATAGGTAAAATATCTGAATAAGAAAAAACAGATGGATACTAAGTATAAGGATAAATACATATCCATTGTCAAATATTATGAGTTTTACAAATCTGAGAAGACACAATCCTCCTTAGATAAACTCTAGGATTCTTTTTTACTCTAAACTTCTATGATTCTATGATCAATATGCTTGTCTTTCATTGTTAATACATGTGCTGAAATATGCTTATCTACTTAGTTAGAGAAGGCCAGGGCTTGATATATTTATCTGTATGTAGGCATTAATGCTTCATTTATCAGGAATGACAGGAAATAAAGTATGTCAACTAAAGCATTAAATACATTTCCAGATTACTACTCTTAACCCCTTTAAGGCACAAATATACTGTGAGTTTTGTTACATATTTTTATTAAAAATTTTCCATTGTCTATTACCATATAATGATAAAAAGAACTTGATCAAATTGTGCAGAATTATTGAACTATGGAAAAGTATTGCACTTACAGAAGTTCTTGAGATGTATAGAGCTATTTGCCTTTATACAATAAGACCCCAAACTAATACGATAATGCCTATTAGCTAAACTTTAAATGCATGTTAAATCTATTTAGAAGAACCCAATTTTCTAACATTTGTTTTGTCTGGTTCCTCTGTTGCCTTCTATTACTTTTCCTTGTAGTTAGTGTGTTTTGCTAGTAAATTTATTCTCTAGTTTATGTAAAATAACCTGGGTAATGACATTACTGTTCTCTAAAATAACTGAGCTTAGAAGTATGCAATTACTTCTCAGGCATTTACTTCACTTCTCCCTTCCTTTAGTCTTTATTGTAAATGTTGCTCCTAAGTCCTGTCTTCCAAGTTATACCAATGACAATCATCAAAACTCCCTGGCCAGAAGATTCTCGCCCTTACTCTCTTAGTCCCATAGCCCACAACTAATCTGTCCCAGAAGTATCATTTCTGTTATTGTTTGTGTCTTCAAAATATAGCCAGGAAAACATTTGATGATGATTAAAATCAAAAAATTTTGAAGGAAATGAAAGATGACCTAAATAAGTGCAAGTATATATAATGTGCATGGATTTAGTCCGTCAGTGCTGTAAAGGGACCAATTGTCTCCAAGTTAGTCTTCAGATTTAATTCGATTTCAATCAAAAGGCAAGCAATGTTTCTGTGGAAATTCACAAGCTAATTACAAAACCTCAAAGAAATGCAAATGACAAAGAACAGCCCAGGATAACATCAGAAAGAAGCAAAAAGCTGGGTGACTTAAATGACCAGAAAAATAGTCAGTGTACTTTTAAGTGAAATATTCATGTTACTATAAACAAATGAAAGAATGGACCAGAAGAGAAAGTCCAGGAACAGAAGCAAGTATTATAATCTGATTCATTAAAAAGAAGGCAGAACACTAGCATTTGAAAAGAAAACTACTCTTTATTAAAAGACTACATATAGGAGAGACCCCGTGCTGTCTTACCAACCTAAGCGCTTATACCAACAAGCTTCCCCTCTGTGTTAGCTACCCACCAGTTGGGAAAAAAAGAAAAAGGAAAACCTTGACCTTTAGTTTATAAGAGAAATTCAATTCCAAATAGAATGGTAATCAAATATGACAGTTAAACAATGTAAATATTAGAATACATAGAATATTTTTATGACCTTGATGTCTTAGAGCATAAAACACTAAGTGTACACTTCTTAAAATTAAGGACCCTTAAAATCACAACATTAAAAGAATAAGCACAAGGTACATAATGAAAGATATTTTCAGAAAATAGATATAACAAAATTTGCAAAATACCTGTTTAGCAACACAAATTTATAGTTCTACAAGTCACTGGTCTAAAATCAAGATGGCGGCAAAGACAACTTATTTTCTGATTCCTCTAAGAGAGGACCCATTTTCTTGCTCATTCAGGTTGATGGCAAAATTTACTCATTTGCAGATCTAGGGCTGAAGTCCCCATTTCCTCGCTGGCTGTCAACTGAGCCATTCCCAGCTCCTAACTTTTGCCATGTGTAACCCTTCCTTCATCTTCAAAGCCAGCAATGGTGGTTCAAGTTCTGTTATCCATCTGGTTGTCTCTTCTACATTCTTCTTCCATTTGGAAAGATTCATGATTAGATTGGGTCCACCTAGATAACCTATAATAATTTCTCCAATTCATGCATTCCAAGGTGTTTAACCTGGATCACAACTGCAAATTATTTTCTATAATGTAAAGTAGAATATTCACAGGTATAAGGGATTCACGTGTGGATGTTTTTGTAGACCTACAGGTTTCTATCTGGAATATAAGTATAACTTCTATAAATCAATATGGAAAATACAGACACCTACACTGCTATTATTTTTCCTTTGCATGCCATTATCACCTTCTAACATATTATACATTTTATACATTAAGTCATTTTTCTAGTCACTATTGCTGCTGTTGCTCATGAACTCTTTTCTATTGGTATTACCTGGGAGAAAATCAGTGTTAAGATTACATTGTGTAATGATCCCAGATCTTTCTAGTAGCTTTTAATTGAGATTTCAATCCATGAAAATGAAAACCTTGCATCCCAAAGAACTTACGCCAAATATGTAATGAATAAATATAATGAATGAATTAAACAACACAGTCTAAGATGTTTCTCTATGGTAGAGCTCCCAGAGATAAAATTATAGGGTTCACTTCAAATACTCCAACAATAATTAGCTGTTTAGAAAAGGAAACAGACTGGATTCCTCATGGGTAGTTTCTAACATTTCAGAAACAAAACTTGGTGAAAGGTATATGCTTGTAAGAAAAACAAAAAGTTATTGCAGAAAAGAACAGAGCAGGCCTCATTGTTACCATTAGGACTTGTTTATTGGTTGGCCTTTGACTGGCATCTGGTAACTTCAATTTCAAGAGTGTTCTTCTGGTACCCAAATACCTGATTAAAAGGGTGTTTTATGTGTTTGGACTATTTATTCAAACCACGTATTTTATGCAAAATTTCCTTTTGGGATTCTGGAATTTTGGTAATGCTGGGAAGAGGATCCTAACATGATTATATAATAGTAAAGCAATCCTAGGACCTGTTTCTAATGAGCTTCCATAACACTATACTTGTCATAATCTGATGCTGGAGGAGGTAGGCATGTCTTATTTGACTCCTGGGGGTTAGAACTTTTGGGTGCTTGCATTTGGGGTCCTCCAGACTTCACCCTTTCCCCTTGCAGATTTTGCCTGGATTCATTTTGCTGTGATAAATCTTAGTCCTAGAGTATAAGTATATACCAAGTCTTGTGAATCCTCCTAGCAACCATAAAACCTGGGGGTGGCCTTGGGGACCCAAGCACACTCATCACATACAAATGAACTGTAGAAAATTTGTAACATATTCTTCTCATTTTGTACAGTGGTTCAGAAAAAAGACTGGAGTGGAATGAAATATTGTGATACATGAACTCATTTGTTAGAGATGTTGCAGCAACAAGGACAAAAGTTGGGCACTGAGAATGTACAGACTGTAAAGTCTGGATGAACAAATGAACTTCATGGCAAGAAGCAAATGTCTAAGCTACTTCTGATCACCTGTATTAGTACTTGTGTTGATGAAGAATGTACCCTACGATGAGGAGAATCTCTAAAGATCCAATGCAAAGTGGAGAACTATTGCCTTGTCTACGAGAGACAACAGCTGTCCAGCAATGCCTACCTTTAACCAAAAAGGAATGGGACCATGATGATAGTGCCAGGATATTTAAATTTTCAAGAGAAATCAGAAAACCATATTCTTAAGCACAGTTTTCAAATGTTTAAATTTTGGTAACAAACTCTAACAGTGTTTAAAATGAACCTATGTTGTTTACCCATATCTGACATAATGAAAATTCCTGATTCTATATCTTTAATTCTTATCATGAGGCTTTAACAAAAGAGAAATACAAACAAAATATCAATTAAAAAGGTACTACAAAGATCTGGGATCATTACACAACATACTCTTAACAGTGATTTCTTTCACATAATATAATTAGAATAGAGTTCATGAGCAACAGGCACCAAATAACATTAGAACTGATAACATCATTAGTGTAGTTTGAATAAATTAACAAAACCAGTGTCTATGATCTCATTCCCTAGGATGGCAACCTTTCTTTTTACATAGATGTAAATGATAAGGTGTATATTTCTTTGCCCTAAGACAGAAGTACACAAGTGGCTAGATCCCTAGCAGAAAATGAATTGACTCATCCTCAGTGATCCAATCCTCCCTCATCACAAATTATGTGGCTGAAGATTTGGTCTCACCAGGCTTGTGAAAAAACACTCAGACACTAATTTTGCTTCCTTGTCTTCTCTTACCATATGCCTTTCCTCTGAGATATCAATTTGCTCTCCAGATCAATCTAGGAAAAGTATGCATTTGTGGAGGTGTTTATTATATTTTCAGTAGGCTCCCAGTGGAAATTAGAAAGCTCTAAACTGGACTCCTGGTCCAAGCATGATTTCACAATCTTGTTCATTTTGAATGTAATGTGATTCTAAATTGATCGTTTATTTGCTTGTCCAGAAAAAGCTGAGTAGGAGGTGGGAAAGCAACATAATCAGAAGTAAAAATGCTCATGTCATTATCTCAAATACACATGTTGATGATAACTATTCTGGGCACTTTATTTGCTCTCCCTTCTTATTTTCAAGGTTGTGCTTCAATGACAAACCTCTTCTTACTAAAAAAAAAAAAAACAAAAACCTATTTTTCTTTCAGAAATTAACCAACTATATCACAGACTTGTGTGAGGTATTGTTTCTCATCATATGAAATCGCTGAGTTGGTTTCCTCTCAAGTTCTGAAGAAAGCTAAAATGCTCAAACAACTCTGCATTCAAATCTATATATATGTCCTCTTCAAGAATAAATATTTACTTTATTATAACATGGGCAACAAATATAATTTTGATACTTTATTATCTCATTCTGTTTTTTCTTTTAAAATGTATGCTACCTTTTTATAATATTTATAGGGCTCAATAATGTAGTCTTAGAAAGTAAAGTCAAAGATACCCTTTGACCATTGTCTGTTGAGAAAATATGGTTTAGTATTAATATCTCTAATACTCCACTAACTTTTTTGGAGATAAGAATGAGATGTTGATCTTGGTCAAGCTGAATGCCCTCAGGAGGCCATACACAGCTTCATTTCAGGTTATTCAGCTTCCCACCATTCATTGCATAAGGTAATGGTCTAAGTGTTACAAGAACGAGAAAAACACTTCCAGTGATGATTCTACCACATATTGCCTCCATCATTTTGCCAAGAATTCTACAGTCAGTTAATTCCCAGCTTTGAATATTTCCCCAATTAGTTTTCCCTATTTTAAAGTACAAATACCCTGGAATAGAAACAAATCAAGTCCCTCCAGCCTTTATATAAACTGCTGTCACTTTACTTTTCTCCTTAACAAGAGACCCTAGAAGCATTCTTTATCCCGATCTCAGTGGCTTCTGAAATGGTGAGATGGAGGAAATGGATGGAAATGAAATACGTCACACTTATTTGCTATGTTTGCAACAGTGAAAAGTCTTAGCTTTCAAATTTTCATGAGTTACATTAACAATAAAGATGTTTTATTAATAAAATTTACTACTACATGAATTTTGCTAATATGATTACATTTAGAATATATTTGTATATAAAATGAATACCATATTTATTTTTAAAAATAATATAGGTTTACCTTGTAAATGACATCTTACCTTTTAAATATATTGTTTGAAAGTTTCTTTCTGATTTCTACAACATGGGCATGTCTGACAAAGGACGCAGTTTATGATTAAAAGCACAGCATATTTAGTATAAATTCTAAAAAAACTAGAGTCAAGAATTGTGAGAAAATACTGAAGTTAAATATACCACACCCAAGCTCTCACCTGGCTCAATTTCTTGCTGCAGAGTTTTATGGATATTTATCTTTTCTCCCTGGGAGATATTAGTTCTAACTATATTTATATTTAAATGTCTTTTCCTTGGGTGTGAGAAAAATACAACTATAAAACAGTTAATTTACAATGAGACTGAGAAAAGTCCATCCTTGTGTCTAGGGACTCTGGCTGTCAGCTTTGACCTTCAGTCCGAAGAGTGCAATGGAGTCAGTGATGTGCACCATGAGGTCTCTAAGGCCACTGGTGACCCCAGGCCCAGTTTGTTTACTGATGGCTTTCAACTGGTGTAAATAGTCCAGCTTGACTCTCTGACCAGACTGGCATAAATGACCCCTCTAGCAATTTCTTCTTTGTTTTCTTCAGCACCTTCCTAGAATTCACACAAATTCAGAGAGTATGTCCTTAGGCAAATAAGGATTCAGCAAAGCTTGCACCTGTATGTCACTCAGAACCCCCAATATTGTTTGTACACTTTTTTCCTGCTGTACTACTTGCCTTTAAATGAAAATTTGTTGAGTCTGGTATGTGCTTTCAAAGACCCAAACTTGTGGAAACTGAAATATCTAAGTTCAAACTTCAGTTATCTTTTCAATATCACTGAAAATGCATTGAAATTAGCCTACCCCCTTTCTCATTCTGAATTTAGGAGAGATTTATGCAAGGTTGTATCATAAAATTATACACTACCCTTCTTTGATTCACAAATCACTTTTAGTTTGTAAAACTTTCTCCAAATTAAATATGTATGTAACATATTCATCTATATACATATATACATACATATATTTATTTTCTGTACTCTTTGACATGTGCACATTGCACACATTCTAAATATTGATATATTTATATACCACATCTAACATCACTGGTAAATATTACATCTTCAAAATTCCAACATTTTTAATGCTTTACTTAATAAAAATATTAAATACAGAAATTAATTTGACACAGAGTAGCATAGAGGCATTAAAGTGAGGTTCCTGACAAGTTTAATCTGTAAGAATATAAGAGTTTTTAAAGAAAATAATCAGTAAAGAGTATATTTGCCACAGATTAAGAACAAGAAGTTAGGAGAAATAGCTGGGAGCAAACAAGCTACAACTGGAATATTAAAATAAACAAAAGGCATCCCCTTAAGGATGCACTTAAACCAGCTGATCAATTCAAAGGGCCCATTTGGAATTCCCCCTTCTTTCAGCATATCCTCTGGCACGCTGAGACTTGTTGATCCACTTTAATAGAAAGTATCTGTTCCATCCAGATTAACTGATCCTACCAGATGTCCCAGAGAAGGGATGCTTACTACACAATTCTGCCAGTGGCCAAGTAGTTCTGTGGCTGTAAATTACATACAGTGAGAATGAGTTCACTGTTCTAAAAATGAAATAATGAAAGTTTATGTCTTTTCTTAGGAAAAGGAAGCAATGCACTGATTCTGGGAGATTGAAAACAACCTTTAGAAGTACGTATTGAACCTCAAACTTAACTCTGGGACTTCCAGAAAGAATGAACAATCACCCACAGAGAAAAAGTAAAGCTCTTATCTAATCATTTTAGAGAAAGAGGCATTTTCCAAGTACTGACATTCCAGTTTTCTTCAATGCTCCCCTTTCCTCTTCTTTGGAACAAACACTTCAACAGTAAATTGTGTTTTTTCTGTGACACTAATGATGGTTCCATTCACTGGTGTGTGGGAATTTGAGGAAGAATCATTCCTTTGTCAGTATTTTACCCACATACATATTACATATGTCACAGGGACAACTAGAATTTAAAGAGTTTTGTTTAGCTGTGCTATTTAACCATATTTCTAAATTGTTTAGACTTTTGTGTCATTTTTTTTGGTTTGCTATTTCCGTATTATAAATTTCCTTAGCACTTTTCAGTTTTAAGCACCTCACATGAAACAAACACTGTGAGGTTGCTACTCTGAATATTTACCTGGCCAGGAGGAAACCTGGAAGAGTACTGAATGAACCAAACAAAGATAAAGCCCAGATTATTTTTAACCATACATGATCACATTATAGTACGTTATCTCATTGCATGATTTAATTTCAACTTTTTATGACTTAATTGTAGCACAAAGTGATTGTACCACCCTAAAACCTTCAACTTGAGAACAGTTTACTGAGATATTCTTTCCTATTTATAAGGAGTAGCTTTTCCTGCGTAGATTATAGTCTTTCGATACAAGCTATACTCATCTCAGTTATTTACCATGAACATGAGGACACTCTTCAGTCTACCCCACACGTAATGAGTAAAATTATCACTGGGTTCTGTCTTGAAAGGCAATGCAAAGGCTCCAGACCATAGAGATAAATTACCAAGTTTTTCAGAGGCATTGTGAGGCACAAGAGCCACTCCCCACCAATAACACTTAAGCTACTTAGGGCTTGCTCCATATCCTAGTCAACTCATTCAGGAACATTTCTCTACTTCATTCCCACCAATGTGGTTTCCCAGGAGATGGACACTTTCCATGACTCTCTGCCTCATTTTCCCCAGGACACCTCAATATATGTGATGTTTCCATTATTTCTTCTCTGTTACCATATACTTTACCCAACACCTGTGCTTCCAGGATGACCTTGAGTATTCACTTCATTCAAGGACTAGGTAGGATTTACCATGATTCCACCAAAACTTAATGTATAATTTTTATTGCTGAGCTTGAACTGACATCCTATGTCTTACCACTGCCCTCTTTCTTGTGCACGTTTCTTCTTATCTCAACTCAGCAGCACACTACTCAGCTGGTGCCATGCTGCAGTTATTTCAGACCTGCCTATAAATGTGTGGCACAACCCTAATCACATTTACACTTAGAAAATTTTCTGACTGCCTCATCTTGGCTGTTGTGAGTAGCACTATAGTGTGCACAGGAGTGAAAATAACTCTTCAAGATTCTAATCCCAATTCATAAAATAGGACACTCAAAAGTGGAACTTATGGATCACATGATGGTTGTATTCTTAACTTTTTTTTGGTACTAGTGATGGAACTCAGAACCTTGAATATGCCAGCACCACTGAGCTACATCCCCAGCCCTATTATTAACTTTCTGAAGAACTTTTAAACTGTTTTCCATAGCATGTGTACTGTTTTACATTTCCATCAGTATTGTGCAATGATTCTAATTTGTATTGTATACTGCAAAAATGTGTTAACTGGGTATATCTTATGATGTGTTCTTAACACAATAAAGTAAAATAAAATACATTTCTCTAACTTCAATTTCTAATGTCTTCCCATCATTGGCTTCTGTGCCACCACTAGCATCAAGCATTTTGAAGGGCTTTTCAGGCCAATCTTTATGGTTGACATTTCTTGTCATTGTACTGCCTTCTTCCATTCATTGAACTCTTACCAGGCCTGATGAAAGGTTTTGTAAAGCTCACACTTAGAAAGCTGTTTTCTGCCAGAATAAGTAGTCATTTTCTGTCAAACTGGTTTTTAGGGCTTATGACGCCAAGTGAAATGGTCTATGCATTTCAGATCCATTCTTCCCTGCCCACTCTTTACTTCTGATCAGTTCCATATTGTAAGGTTGCCATTCACTCACTCCACACCTCCTTCATTTGGGTCATATCCATTTATAGCATCACTGTCAATGTGCTTGTCATGTTAGGCTGCTTCTGCCAGCGCCAACACATCCAAGAGATCTGGAGTAAGTAACATAAGAATGGGGAATAGAAAGGGTCAGATACCAATGAACCAGACTACTCAGAAAGCAAGCTAGCTGAAGAGCCAGTTACTGATGGCAAATCACCATCTTGCGATTTAAGAGCATGTCTGGGGATATCCTTTAGATTATAAAAAGAAAGGTGCTCTGCTATGTGCATCAGAATTCTGGTCTAAGGTATCTATTGATTTATAACCCTAAAGAACTCTGAAGAAAAATAAGTCACTTAGATATACTACATATGCATAATAGTTAAATTCAAGAGAAACATCAAAAAGTCCCGTAAGTATATTGTATGATTTGGAGT